ACCATCTACATACATACATATATAATTATTTGTCTTAAAGTAATAAAACAAATACTTAACATATAATTTTTAATTTTTCGGATTAGATTACTAAGGAATAATTTTTTATATTATTTGAAGCTAAATTGATTCCTAGGCGTGATATATTCAAGTTTCTGATTTATTAGATAGTAGAATGAAGCTATAGTTGACAATATAACTTTAAGAATTAAAACTAAATGATTAAATTAAAAAAAAGAAGCATACTGGGTGTAAATGTTACGCAACATTAGTAGGTATTATGCTTCGAATTATCATTCAATGTTATCAAAAGATAGGATGTGAGAAGTTAAAGTGCCTTGGATCTGTTATACAAAAGAATAGAGATATGTATGAGGATAAGATATCTAAAGTTATGATTAGATATTTAAACTATAGAAGTTCTGTAAAAGTTTTTTATGATAAAAGGATATAAGAAAAGTTTAAAGATAAATCATATAAAACTATAACGAGATTAGTTGAATTTTATGAGCTCAAATGTTGGCTTGTAAAAAATTCATTGATTTCTAAGCTGTGTATGACACGATGTAAATGTTAAGATGGATGTATGACAAATTTAAAAAGAATAATTAAAAGTTTATTATACCCGATGATTATGGAAGATATGCAGTCCAAAATTGACACTTATGTGTGACAAGTTTAACTGTCTTGGATTTATTATATAAAAGAATAGATATATATATGAGGATATGATATCTAAAGTTACTATAGAAGTTCTTTAAGAGGTTTGTATGATGAAAGGTTATAATAAAATTTTAAATATAAATCTTATAAAACTATAATGCTATCGGTTATATATTATGGACTCAAATGTTGGGTTGTAAAAAATTCATTGATTTCTAAGCTGGGTTTGACACAATGTAAATGTTAAGATGGATGTATGACAATTTTAAAAAGAATAATTAAAGGTTAATTATACTCGATGAAAGGTTTGATAAACATCTATTGAAGAAATGACGTCTAAAATTGGATTCAGGTTCTTAGACATATACGACAAAGCGTAGGTAAACATGATATGTGGTTTCATAAAATTATTGTCAGGTAATTATGATGGAAAAGGGGTAGCTAAGGTAATATTAAAATTTCAAAATGGCTTGTGGAGAATTGGTTTAGCGCCTTATACAACACTAAATAAGTTCAAATGAAAATTGAATATTTGAAAATTTTGTAACTAAATTGTTGATGGATAAGGCTAATTATGATAATATTTTGTTAATTATGATATCTAATTTATCGATTAATCAATATAAGACTAATTGTAATAAACTACGAAGCAAAAACACTTCCAAATGACGGTTGTGTTCGTGTTAGACACATGGTGGCCATGGCTCTGAGACATTTCAAAAATTGTGCCATGATTTTTTATGAAGAAATAATACCCTGATACTTTTTTGAAATGGCGGGACACGACTATGACGTGGCAAATTATGGATCTTAAAATAGTGGAAAGTATAAGTGTTGAAATTAATAAAACTAATACTCATATTTCCTCTAACAACAATACGACTTTTGACTTATCCCTATCCTTGTTTTTTTGAAGCTATAGACTTGCACAACCAAAGAGCTTCTATCGAAGCTATTTCTTGCCATCTTTGAGCTTTTACCTTGCTATTGTCAAAGCCAAAGTCGTATCTCTACTAGAAGCCAAATTGGTGCGTGTACCAATAGCCATCTTTAAAGCCAAGCCCTAAGCCATCTTCATAGTTGAACTAACATCTTTTCTCAAATGTGAGTATGTGTCGTGACCTTTGATGTACCTGAAGTTTTGAAATGCCAAAACTAAAGTCATGTCTTTGTTGTAACTAGGGTCATATCAATTCATTTTAGAAAACAAAATTTGTATTCAAAATCACAATGATTTTTAAATAATTTAACTATTTAACATGAATTGACAATTAGGATAAATAATTGAATAATATATAATTATACATAATTAAAGAAAATTCAACTCTAGGAATTAGTTATTTTTCCTTATTAATAACTCCAATTAGAGAAGCTCATGTATTTATGTTTTTCTTTAATTATTTTGAGGATGACGTTGGTATTTTTTCCCTTAGATTTTGGATATTATGAAAACAATACTAATTTTGATAAAATGTGTGAAAAGTAGAAATACTTAAATGATGCTCATATTTGATTTTCTTTTAACATCTTAATTTTGTTAATAATGTTATATTTCATAATGTGATTTTGTTAATAGAGAATAGTAGAAATTATATATGTTGCAGTAATAATTTATCAAGTATTAAAAACATGTCTATGATGTGTCATGTCTTGTGTTTTGCAATTATTCCATTTAATTGTTTGTGTTTTGTTGTGTCAGTGTCCCATATCCATTTTCATTCTTCATATATAATATATTATTTTCGAAATTGTTGATTAGTAACTAATTAATCTTATTAATTTTTAATTATTCTAATTAGTCATCTAATGAATCAATTTATTATTATCTAGTCTAATTCATTTAATCAATTATTGACTAGTTAGCAACTTATCCTAATTTTCTAAGTTATAAATTTAGTTACTATTTTATTTATTAATTAATGCAAGTTAATTAACCTAATTAGTATTTAATAAACATTTAGTTAGTTTAATTTAATAACTACTTTTTAACTTGAGCTATTTTATGCAAGCTATCCCGAGCATTTTTGTGATAATAATCTCGATAAGTTGAAATTCTGGAAAAAAGTTTTGTAGAATGTTAGCCCAACCTATCATTCTAAGAATGCTATTTTTTATATTTCCTAATGCTAAAATTCTCTCACTACAGTTGTTATACTTCTTAGCAAAAAACTGAGAACTGATTCTGTTGCCTTAAATAGCAGAATTGGGCTACAGAAAACAGTTTCAAATGGAACCATGCTATCATTTCTATTTATTATTTGACTGATTTGTAATCAGTATGCTTGCTTCAGCCTTGAATTTTTCATTTTTAATTTCCTATTTTTCTTATTTTTTGCTTTTTGTTGTCTGGCTGTTTTCACTATTTTAGTGACAAAAATAATCTTAATTATTTCTCTTGAAGAAGCCCTAGCTACTTGTTTCAGCATGCTGCCTTCTAGAATTTTTTAAATGTATGTTTTTTTCTATCAATGTTATAAGACTAGTCTCTCTTGTTGATTATACTGATAGAAATTTTTCATGCTTTCAGGGGAATATGTTGGTTTGACTGGTGCAAGGCTGAATGGTGCTGAAATGCTTGCCTGTGGCCTCGCAACACATTTTGTGCCTTCTGAGGTATGTTCGGTTGCCTTTTACAGAACATATAAATTGTGTCAAATATGTGAATTTTTTTCTTTTTCTGGGTACACGTTTATTATTGTGCAATTCATTTTGCTAGCAATTACTTTTGAAGTCTCAATCTTCTATTTTTTTGCATCCAATTGAAACTCCTTATTGAACATTATATAAAATTACTTGTATTTGTTTTCTTAAGGGCCACCCTTTTTTGTAGTATTGTTCAAACAATAGTTTTTCATGCTTGGAAGATACCTATTTCTTATTTGTTTCATTCTTAGCAGAGATTAGCCGCATTGGAAGAATCACTTACTAAGTTGGGCTCCTCTGATCCCTTTGCTGTTTGTGCTGTTATAGATAACCACTCTGAGCAAGTGCCTTTGAAAGAGACAAGTGCTTTAAACAGGTGTCTTCCTCTCTTCTTTTTATTATAATCAGAGGCATTGAATTATTTTTTTAAGTTCAATTAAGATTACATATCATATAATTTTTAGTTGATTAATATCGTTTTTATGTTAATTAAACCTTTGACTTAGAGAAGAGAACATCTGTTACTTTTCAATTGCTAAGCGTATGCTTTGTAAAGTTAGAGAATAGATATTCTATGAAAACTTGTGCTTCATTTAGCTTGCAATGGTCTCACATTTTCCACCTTTCCTTTGAATTCGTTGATTTTATCGCCTCATTGTTTCTAATTATTGAAAAACTACAAAATTACAATATGGAAATCAAAATATTGAACTGCTATAAGTAAGAAAATTATGATAGTAAGATATCAATCTAAATCTTGTTTGGGAACTTAATGGACTTGTGTGAACCATTTCCTTATGAGATGTACTTTGGTCACTTACTGGCTTCGGTTTATAACAACCATGAACTGACATTTGATATATGAAATAGTTTTTCTTGCAGAAACTAAGTGGATTTTGTAAATAGAAAATTCCTATGTGATTCTTACTGGTAACCAATTAATCAAAAAAATGGAAATTTGATGCTGATCGCCACTAGTCGGTCTTTGTCAGGGAAAAACCAGGGAATCAATTTCCCGTTTATTATACAGTAGGGTCCTTACAACGGTCGAAATAGGATATTCTCTCATGGAGAAATTAACGTTTGCTCTTATTGTTTCCTTTCGCATGCTTCGGCAATATTTACACTCATTCAATTATGGTGATCACTAATCTTCTCCTTATGTCCATACTCGACCAGAACATTCAGGTCGGCTTTTAAAGTGGTCCATTGAGCTCAGTGAATACGACCTTGTTTACATCTCTCGAACAACAATTAAAGCTTAAGCTGTGACAGATTTCTTGGCGAATTTCTCAGAAACGGGTGGATTAAGTGAAGAACATGAGTCTGGAACGCAGGCTTGGACCCTTCACGTAGATGGAGCTTCGAGCGAAACTAAAGTAGGAATTAGATTAGCTTTTAGTAGTCCGATCAGAGAGTTTAATTATCATTCGGTCGTCCTTGAATTCACAGCAACAAATAATCAAGCGGAGTACGATGCCTTAATAGGTGGACTTCGGTTAGCTCGAGAAGTGGGCTTGTAACATGTAATTGTAAGGTCTGATTTTCAACTGGTTGTCAGACAGGTTAATGGTGAATTCGAGGCCTGAAATGAGATAATTTTCAAGTACTTGATGAGCGTAAATTGGTGATTCTAAGGTGACAAACTAGAACCTTAACTAATTTGATCTAGATTTTGAAGCTTAAAACTAGGTTATTCCACAATAATGTTTGTAGTGCATAATCTGGAAGTGACAAACTAGAATCTACCCAGGATAACCAAAGATTTAGGAATTTAACTTTAGGTTAGCCAATGCTATTTATGCACTCGGAAGAGGGTGAAAAATAAGATTGCTCCTATTTGACACAAATACATCTAATTATTTTAACATTTGATTCTTATACTGATTATGATCTCTTTGCAAGGGGAAAGAACTTTCACATAATTTGAACTTTTCTACGTAAAACTAGTTTAGAAATACTACATTTTCTTTAAGCTTTGAATTTTCTTTAAGCTTTGAAATAGAATTAGTAAGAATTTAGTAACTTCTTTTTATACATAAACTTGCTACCATATTTCCTAGATAATTGTCTCGACTTATGTAAAGTTTTACTAAGTCCATAAAAAGAGCTTCACCATCCCTGTGGGATCGATATTGGGGTATTAAAAGAAAATCCTATATTACTTGAAACGATATATATACTTGCGTTGTACCCTTAGTGTTAAAATATTAAACAAATTTTAAATTTTATAACATATTTATTGTTCACTCTAGCTGCTAAAATAAATTAGGTCAAGGTTTTGATCATCATTTTGGAAACAAAATTATTAAGTAACTGCGGGTCGGGTCAAGTTTTTAACGCCGTTGTCTGGGAAGAAAAAAACAACGAAACTTTTAACTTAAGAAATTTATTTGAACTAAAGACTATAAAAATCATAGTGTTTAAATATATAAGAGTTTGTTTTGTGTGTTAAAAATATTTTTAAAATAAAAAAAATATTTTTTTTTGAGTGTTTTGTTTAATTTTTTTTTCTAAACTTTTACTTTTGTATCGTAGTTCAGGATCTGAAAGTTTAGTATCTTACGATTATGAGTTAGAACGCATTATAAAAAAATTTGAAAATAAAAAAAAAACCTCACTATTTACAAAAAATGACAAACACATACATAATAACATTGATAATCAAACTGTTGAAAATGAACATTTTCATGTACAAAGACAATTAGTTTGGGGGAACTTCATCTGAGGATACAAACCCCTGCTATAGTTGCCAACTTATTTAAACTTAAACCTACTATAATCTAAATGATACAAAAAAAATCAGTTTGGGGAAACTCCATTTGAGGATCCTAACTTACACTTTGCTAGTTTTCTAGAATTATGTGCTATATCTAAGTACAACGATGTATCAAATGACGTTGTTAGACTTAAACTTTTTCCTTTTCCCCTATGAGATAAAGTTAAGATGTCGTTAAACTTATTAGCACATGGATCTATCAGAATTTGGAGAGATTTAACATAGAGATTCTTAGCTATGTATTTTTCATCTTAAAAAACTACTATGCCTAGAAACAATATGACTTCATTTACTTAGTATGAAGGTGAGTCAATCTATGAAGCCTGGGGACGATTTAAAGAACTTCTTAGGAAGTGTCCACATCACGCTTTGGCATACTAGTTATGTATTCAAACTTTTTATAATGGGTTAGTAGGATACCTTAGATTGATTATTGATACTGTTGCTTGAGGTTCATGAATGTCAAAATCATTTGATGAAACATATGAATTAATAGAATAGATGACTACTAACAACTTTCAACGACCCTCTGAAAGGGTATATCTTAAGAAAGTAACTAGTGTTCATGTTACTGATGCGATTCCAATTTTGACATCTCAAGTTGCTGCGATATCTAGGAAATTAAATCAATTTGGAATAAACTTTTCTCAAACACCTCATATGATTCAGGAGAATTCATTGGGATGATTGATTAATTCTCAACTATTCTTGGAGACTTTAAATGCAATTAATAATAGACTCAATAACCCATATTCTAGCTATTATAACTCAGGTTGGAAAAACCATTCTAATTTTTACTGGAGTAATAATTACGGTGGTGGAAATCAGCAATGAGGGAATAATCAACTGAACCCATTGAGAAACTAGAACAACTAGGGTAATACTAACTATAGACCTTATCCTCCTAATTTTACAAATAACCAACAATTAAGGAGAAGTTGTCTTTAGAAGAAGCTGTGTTACAAATGGGCAATTAATATGAAGTCAGAGTGTTACAATAAAAATATTTAAAATAAACTAGGACAAATTGCTAACTCACATACCAAAGGGAGCACTTCCTAGTAACAGTAAAACAAATCCTAATGATAAAAACAAAGAGCAGGAGCAAGTTAAAGCAGTCAAGTTGAGAAGTGGTAGAGAATTATATACTTGAGTGTAAAAAGAGATTGCAGTTGAGAGCGAAACTGAGAAACTGAAAAACATGAAGAAAATGTTCTTGAGAATATAGAAAAACTTGTCTCTCCAATTAAGTGCAATGTAGAAAAATCACCACCTCTATTTTCTCAGAGCCTTAAACAACATAAACTTGATAAAAAATTTTCCAAGTTTATGGAAATATCTAAGAAGCTGACAAGCAACATTCCTCTTGCTGAAACATTGACGCAAGTGCCATGCTATCTTAATTTTATGAAAGATATATTAAATATGAAAACGAAGTTTGGAGATTATGAAACTTTTGTACTTAGTGAAGAATGTAGTATAATAATCCAGAAAAATCTTCATAAAAAACTCAAAGATTCTGGTAGCTTTATTATTCCATGTTCGATAGGAGAAAGATTTTGCGGAAAAGCCTCATGTGATTTAGGGGCTAGTATTAACCTCATGCCCTTATCAATAATTAGAAGACCAGGTTTATGAGAGATTTCTCCCACCACTGTAACCCTTTGGTTAGCTGATTGATCGATTACTTATCCTAAAGGGGTTATAAAGGATGTACTGGTTAAGGTCGATAAATTTATTGTCCCAGTTGATTTCATTGTTCTAGATATGGAGGAAGATAAAGAAACACCAACTATTTTAGGGAGACATTTCCTTGCTACTAGACGAGCTATGATTTATGTGCAAAAATGAGAGATGACCAGGAAGTTACTTTTAATGTGCTAAAGTTAATGAAGTATCCGACGGAAGGAAAAGAAGATGAATGTTATAGAATAGAGATTATTGATGATTGAATTGATAACCATTTTAGAGTAAGTTAAGAAGTTAAAACAATACTACGAGAATTGGGGTATGAAAATGATACTGATTTTCAAGATAAATCTATTGAGATAATCACTGATGATTCAAATTATATTCAGGAAAGTTTTGATATTTTAGATACCACTGAAAATAATAAACCTCTTATTCCTTCAATTGAAGAAACTCCTGAACTTGAGATGAATGTGCTCTCTACACATTTAAAGTATGCTTTTTAGGGAACTCATCAACATTACCTGTTATAATATCCTCAGACATAAGTGGAGATCAAGAAGAAAAATTAGTGGAAACATTGAGAAATTATAAAAATATTTGGATGGACGTTAGCGGATATTAAAGGTATCAACCCTTCAATCTGTATGCATAAAATTTTAAAAAAAAAAAGATAATCACAAGCCTAAGGCAGATCTTCAAATGAGATTAAATCCTATCATAAAAGATGTTGTAAAGAAAGAAATTTTAAAGTGGTTGGATGCTGAAATTATTTATTCTATTTCTGATGGTGCTTGGATTAGTCCAATTCACTGTGTTTCTAAGAAAGGAGAAGTGACCGTAGCTATTAACGAACACAAGGAATTAATTCCAACAAGACAAGTCACTGGGTGGTGTATCAGTATTGA